AGATGGTGGAAAGAAGTCAAAATCTACTCTATATATTTTGGATAGAGTAGCAGCTAGCATGGGCTTCACTGCAAGGTAGATCCAAATTTGAGTTTTAGTTTTGCCGCTTACTAATTTTGTGATTTCAGGACAATTAACATTTAAAAAACATTTTTTAGAAAAGAGTTTGAGGTTATACAGTGAGCTGTCATAGTGTCACTGCACTTTAGCCTGGGTGACAGAGTGACACCCTGTCTCTTTAAAAAAATATAAACACCTAAGAAATAACACTTGGGCTGGGCGCTTTGGCTCAGCCTGTAATGCTAGCACTCTGGGAGGCTGAGGCAGGTGGATCACCTGAGCTCAGGAGTTGGGAGACCAGCCTGAGTAAGGGTGAGACTGGCTTTAAGAAAAAAAAAAAGTAGGCTTGGTGCCAGCCACATACACCTGAGCTGACGGGTTCGAATCCAGCCTGAGCCCGCCAAACAACAATGGCAGCTGCAACCCAAAAATAGCCGGGTGTTGTGGCAGATGCCTGTAGTCCTGGCTACTTGGTAGGCTGAGGCAGGAGAATCGCTTCTTAAGCCCAGGAGTTGGAGGTTGCTGTGAGCTGTGATGTCACAGCACTCTACCCAGGGCGACAGCTTGAGGCTCAGTCTCAAAAAAACAAAACAAACATACAAAAAAACCCCGGGTGTTGTGGTGGGCGCCTATAGTCCCAGCTACTCCAAAGGCTGAGGTAAGAGGATCGCTTGAGCCCAGGAGTTTGAGGTTGCTGTGAGCTGTGTTGCCACAGCGCTCTACCGAGGGTGACAAAGTGAGACTCAGTCTAATAAAATAAAATAAAATAGGTTTGGCGCCCGTAGCTCAGTGAGTAGGGCGCCAGCCACATGCACCAGAGCTGGCGGGTTCCAGCCGGGCCTGAAAACTGCAACCAAAAAATAGCCGCGCCTTGTGGCGGGCGCCTGCAGTCCGGTCTAGTCAGAGGCTGAGGCCAGAGAATCGCTCAAGCCCAAGAGATGGAGGTTGCTGTGAGCTGTGACGCCATAGCACTCTACCGAGGGCAAGAAAGTGAGACTCTGTCTCTAAAATAAATAAATAAATACAATAAAATAAAAAGAAAGAACGCTGGGATCCATTTGTATACAGTTCCTAAGCGCGATGATTGGGTTGTCATGCGCATGCGTGAGATGTGCCTCCCACAAAGCTTATTCCGACGTGGGCACATTGCCCGTCTGACGTGAAAGAACAGGAAGGACGCTTGGGCTAGGCATGATGGCTCACGTCCCCATTCCCTGCATTCGTGGAGACCGAGACAGGTGGATAGCCTGAGCTCAGGAGTTTGAGACCAGCCTGAGCAAGAGACCTGGCCTCTAAAAAATAGGCAGGTATTGTGGCGGGCAACATAGTCCCAGTTACTGGGGAGGCTGAGGCAAGAGGATCACTTGTGCCCAAGAGTTTCAGGTTGCTGTGAGCTGTGACGCTACAGCATTCTACTGGGCACTCTACCGGGCACTCTACCGAGAGTAGCAAAGTGAGACTGTCTCAAAAAATAGAAAGAGAGAGAGAGAGAAAAATACTTCATTTTCAGAAACTTAACTTTTAACTCTGATCACCTTATCTTTGTCTGAGATAGCAGACACAGATAATTTTGGTTGTCCTGCAGTCTCTAGCCCCCTCAAGTTTGTAATGGTGTCGAGGTACTGTGGGAGGTAGGGCAGATTGTGTATGTCTGGTCCTGGGCTGTCTTCCCAACCTCTTGGCATCTGGGCCTACAGGTTCTCTGCTGCCTACAGGTCATATCTGGGGCTCATGGTAAGGACCTGTGGTCATCCCAGCCTGGATGCACCATAGAACTCCTTCCCACCTTTCTCCCGGTTTCCCTGACAACATAGGGAATTGTACCAGTCTGGGCGACAGAAAGCCTCCTTTCCTCAAGATAATCTAACCAACGTGTTTGTTGCTAACTGCATTGTTTTCTTCAAGGCTTAGCTTTGTTTCAAAGACAAAAGAAACAGTTGCAGGCTGATTTTGCTACCAGGCGTCCTCAAACTTCGGCCAGAGGGCCACATGCAGCCTGCCTAGGACATTTATCCCGCCGCCGGTGTTTTTGCGCCACTGCCTCTCCTGCTTAGCAGCCAATTCGTCCCGGGACCCACAGCCCGGCCCTCCAATGGTCTGAGGGACAGTGAACTGGCCCCTGTTTTAAAAGTTTGAGGACCCCTGAATTTATTAGGGCACTTAGTAGAGTGCCAGGCGTATAAGGGGTCAATAAATTTAACTCCTAAAAAAAATTAACTCCTGTTTACATTGATTACTGTAATGCTTACTCTCTGAAATTTGTTTTCTTTATTTTTGAAACTTTTTTCCTTGGTTCCTTTCTTTTCTTTCTCCTATTTTACCTGTATGTGCTTTCTTTGCTATTATCCACTGCAGTAATTTGGAAGAAAGATGCACTCTTAAGGTGTTTTAAAGACAGCTTTAAGCCTATCTCTAATTATCAAAGTCGGTATCAAAACAATACTTTTTATTCCTCTTTATGAAATTTGTAATTTGGCACTGTTTAATTTAATAATTTGGCCCTGGATGAACCTGCAGCTCCCTAACCTTTCACCTAATTATTTCAGCATCCTTGATAATTCTTGGCTTAATAAATTATTTCCTTAGGGGTTGCAAATTGTGATTTTTCCAATTCTGTCTATACTGGTAGCTGGCTTTTTTTTCTGGAAAGAAGGGCTCTTCTTCATCAGCTGGGGGCTATTAGGTTACTCGGCAATGCTGATTTTCCTGCAAAGGAAAAACAATGAATCCCTTGCAGCTAATAATTTTGTTAATGAGGACCTGAAAATAAGTTTTTCTTGATTTGCTTTTTTGTTTTATTCCTATCACTTCCCATACCTTTTTAACTGAGTATTGTGTGAACTCAACGAATTTTTTTTTTAAGAGACAAGAGTCTCACTTTGTCACCCTTGCTAGAGTGCTCTGGTGTCACAGCTCACAGCAACTTCCAGCTCTTGGGCTCAGGCGATTCTCTTGCCTCAGCCTCCTGAGTAACTGGGACTACAGGCGCCTGCCACAATGCCTAGCTATTTTTTTTTTTGTTGCCGTTTGGGCAGGGCTGGGTTTGAACCCATCACCCTTGGTCTATGGGGCTGGTGCCCTACTCACTGAGCCACTGGCACCACCCTGGAGTTTGTTGAGACACAGTCTCACTTTGCTACCCTAAGGAGAGTGCCCTGGCGTCATCATGACTCACAGCAACCTCACACTTTTGGGCTGGAGAGATCCTATTGCCTCAGCCTACAGGCGTCGGCTACAACTCCTGGTTAATTTTTCTATTTTTTGTAGAGACAGGTCTCTCACTTGCCCAGGCTGGTCTCTAACTACTTAGCTCAGGTGACCCATCTGCCTTGGCCTCTCAGAATGCTAGGATTAGGTCACTGCACCTGGCCTAAAAATTATTATTGTGTCTGTTCCATAAATTAGCTTTTTCTTTTTAAATTCATCCAGGTATCCCAGAAAAATGAATGGCTAAAAGAAAAGAGAAAAATTAAAAAAAAATTCATTCAGGTAAATCAAATTTCCACTTAGGAGAGTGTTAAAATGTTAGTGCAGGTAATTCAGGGAAGAGGCTTATCTATACAAATTAATTGTTTTAACTTTTCCCCTCCCTCTCTCTTCCCTACTTACTTGTCTGTAGGACAAGGACAGTATCAGTCTTGTGTGGCAGCTCATCCTCAGAACTTAGCACAGGTAGCTCAATAAATATTTAAGCTCAATAAATATTTGTTAATGAGGTTCAGCTCCTGTAGCTCAGCGGCTAGGGCGCCAACCACATACACTGGAGTTGGCGAGTTGAACCTAGCCCAGGCCTGCCAAACAACAACCACGACAACTACAACCCAAAAATAGTAGGGTGTTGTGGCGGGTGCCTGTAGTCCCAGCCACTTGGGAGACTGAAGCAAGAGAATCTCTTACGCCCAAGAGTTGGAGGTTGCACAGGGGTACATAGAGAGACTCTGTCTCAAAAAAAAAAAAAAATTGTTAATGAATCTATTTCTTCATCTCATCATCATCTCATCATCTATCTTTTTGCCCCAGCTGATAGACTATCTCCATTTTGCCTGTTCCCTCACTAAATATTCTGATGTCCAGATGTTGCACAACTACTCCATTGAAACTTTTCCATTTCTGGACAATCTTTCATTAATTTGAAGAATTTCTCCTTTGTCTGGCTGATTCTTGTAGCATAGTATTGTTCACACCAGCTGTTAACCAGTCAGTATAGTTGGTCATGACTAACACTTTTTTAAAAAAATGAATAGAAAAGTGGGTGCTTCAGGTAGTCATCCAAAAATGATCTTAGGAGCTAATGCTGGAGTTGCCTGTATACTAGGCCGACTGGTACAAAGGTCTCCCTTCTTATTAGTAGGAGGGAGCCCAAACTTAGTTTCCCACTGGATGGTTTTCTGCCCCTCACAGAAAGGGCTATAACTTTCAGAGATTCCTGGGTGCTGGGTGGCTGACTTTCCCAGACGACTCTTATAAACAGCTGAGATCCAAACTCAGCCACCATAGCTCTAAATAGTCTTTGTCCACATTTTGAAAAAGAGGTTTCCTTACAATTTTTTTCTAAAGGTGCATCATTTCAGGGGGAATGTGTCCCTCCATTGGAACTCATGCAGCACCCAGCCTTAGCATCCCTTTCTCTGCGATGATGGGAGGACCCAGGATCATGTTGTCTTTTCTTGCTGCCCCTTGGCTTGTTTCCCCATTAAAGGCTGTTCTTTAACCTAAGCTGAATAACCATGTGGAATTCATCTCAAGCTCTGTTGCACAAGAGAAGGCAACCATGAAAGGAGTCTCTAATCCAGCAGTTCTCAACCTGTGGGTCGCGACCCCTATGTAACAATGAAAACACACCGTGGCATTAGGAAGGGTGAGAACCACTGCCCTGATCATTTTGAACAACAACCAAAAATAAAATACAGTGGAGCCTCCATAGTTGACCACCCCCCTACATTGACCAGCTCCTTAAGTTGACATAGTTTCTGTAGACTGGACACATACCACATATACATATCAGTACTGTAGGCCCAGTTCCTTATGTTCACCACCTCCATATGTTGACCAGTTTGTTACAGTCCCTTGGGTGGTCAACTTACATGGTTGAATTTGCTGTCAATGGATTCACATCTGGTCTTCTTGATTCTGATCAAATAGAAACTGAGTTAAATGTGTCAGAGTTGATGATCTCTAACCAATTTTTTTTTTTGAGACAGAGTCTCACTTTTTGCCATTGAGAGCATGCCATGGTGTCATAGCTCACAGCAACCTCAAAGTCTTGGGCTCAAGCGATTCTTTTGTCTCAGCCTCCACAATGCCTGGCTTTTTTTAGAGATGGGGTCTCACACTTGATTAGGCTGGTCTTGAATCTGTGAGCTCAAGCAATCCACCCACCTAAGCCTCCCAGAGTGCTAGGATTACAGGTGTGAGCCACTGTACCCAGCCTCAACCAAATTTTTAATAGTAGAACATCAGATCCAGATGAAACAAAGAAGAAAAAAGCCGGTAGTAATGGCATGTCAGAAATGTAGTGACAAGTCATAAACTCATGGAGGAAGAGGAAAGGGTTAGGTAGAGTTGTAGCTGAAGCCATATGTCTAATGTGGGTAGGATCTCTGGGAAAAGTACCTTACCTTTTAAGGTTTTATGCTCATATAGCTAATTTGTGACTCATTGAGACCTTGGCCCACCACGGAGGATGTCAGAAAAGGGAGGAGCACCCAAATGTTGCAATACCTAAAAGGCCTCTTAACGTACTTTTTGTTTAACCCTCCCCTCATGTTATGAATGTCAGACGGTGCCTTGCAGAGGTGTCCAACCTTTTATTTTCTCTGCTGCCCATTGGGAGAATAAGAGTTGCTTTGGGCCACATATTAAATGCTTTTCTTGAGGCCTGGGTGCGGTGGCTTATGCCTGTAATGCCAGCCCTTGGGAGGCAGAAGTGGGTGGATTGCCTGAGTTCACAGGTTAGAGACTAGCCTTAGCCAGAGTGAGACTCTGTCTCTAAAAAACAGCCAAGTAAGCTCGGTGCCTGTGGCTCAAGCAGTTAAGGCGCCAACCACATACACCTGAGCTGGTGGGTTCGAATCTGAATCCAGCCCAGGACCGCCAAACAATGACGACTGCAACCAAAAAATAGCTGGGTGTTGTGACAATCGCCTGTAGTCCCAGCTAC